ACCCTAAACCCGAAACCAGCAAGCCCGGAAACCCTAAACCCCTTAAGCCCTAAACCCCTAAATCCTAAACCCTAAACCCTAAACCCCTAAACCCTAAAACCCTAAAACCCTAAACTCCTAAACCCCTAAACCTAAACGCGTATATAAACCCTAAGGTCGCACCTAAGCTCTGAACCGCAACCCCGGTTCCCTGAAGCGCTGAGCCCGAAGGCCTTCCGGCCCCTGTTCAATCATGTGAGGGTTTAGGGTTGAGGGTTTAGGGTTTAGGGTTTAGGGTTGAGGGTTTAGGGTTGAGGGTTCAGGGTCTAGGGTTTAGGGTTTAGGGTTTAGTAGTCCTAACAATCAATACCCGCAGCTGCCATCATCATCATCATCATCATCATCATCATCATCATATCCATAAACATAGTCAGCATCATCATCGTCTATAATGAACAGAATGGAAAGCCCTAGAACCCTGCACCTAATATGGGGGCCTTAATAGTTACCTAAACCATTTAGGGGATTCCTTATTGCGAGTATAGTATAATCGGCCCCAAGACCCTATTGAAATTATTAAGTCCCCTATATTACGCCACCTACCCCCCCTCAAACGCCTAAATCGCCCATGCTAGACCCTAAACCCTAAACCCCAAGCCCGGAACCCTAGACCCGAAAAGCCCTAAAGCGCCCACGCTAGAGCCCCAAGCAAAGGCTCCGTGCACTTTGCGGCCGCCACCTCCCAGATTGGAGCCCTCCGAGTTCTGATCAACACCCGCGCCGAGCTGAGGACCGGGTTTAGGGTTTAGGGTTTAGGGTTTAGGGTTTAGGGTTTAGGGTTTAGGGTTTAGGGTTTAGGGTTTAGGGTCTACTGTAGGGTTTAGGGTCTATAGGGTCTACGGTTTAGGGCTTGGGGTCTATAGGGTGTAGGGTTTCGGATTTAGGGTCTAGGGGTTTGGGTTTAGGGTTTAGGGTTGAGTCCCCAAATCAAAATCCTAAACCCTAAACTCGAAACCCTAAACCCTAAACCCGACGCCTTGAACTCTAAACCCTAACAGCCCTAAACCCGAAGCCCCAAGCAAGCCTAAGGAAGCTTCATTCCCAAACCCTAAACCCTAAACCCTAACCCTAAACCCTAAACCCCTAGACCCTAAATCCTAAACCCTAGACCCTATAGACCCCAAGCCCTAAACCGTAGACTCTATAGACCCTAAACCCGAGACCCTAAACCCTAATTCAGGACCCGCGTCCATGGTCTTTCCGCCTTGGCAATCGCGGTGGCCCGCGATCACGACGAGGCCTTCGTCGTACATACCTACTGTTGATGATGTTTAGGGTTTAGGGTTTAGGGTTTAGAGTTTAGGGTTTAGGGTTTAGGGTTTAGGGTTTACCAAAAGGACCCTAAACTAAGGGAATTATGGTATAATCATTCTTATGGGTAGTGCAGGATTTATATCATCAAAACTAGAGCCTACAATTCTACGGACTTATAGCAATTCATAGTAAGGATTTAGGGTTTAGGGTTTAGGGTTTAGGGTTTAGGGTTTAGGGTTCATAGTAAGGAGCCTTGGAAGGGAGGTTCTTAAGGGTCCCGGGTCTATAAAGGCGCAGGGTCTAGGGCGTAGGCTTTCAAACAAAAGTTCAGGGTTCATGGCTTAGGCTTTAGGGTAATGTAGGGAGAGGCCTCGGGGGTTTAGGGCTTAGGGGTTTAGGGTTTAGGATGTAGGGTATAATTACCTATACTGTTTTGGGGTTCCTTAATTATGTTTTTACTATAAAGGAGCCCAAAACC